GCCTCCGGAGGTAATTTTAATCATTGCTACCAAAATCATCCCAGACTGAAGTATGTATGTTCATCCCACCAAATCCCACCTCTGCCCCTATATGTATGACTAATCTCAATTAGGTCTCAGTTTCCTCATCAGTATGGTCCTGAAGCCCCTTTTAACTCTGTATCTATAAATCCTTTTGCAATCTTACAGTTACTCCCGGCGTCAACCCTGAGTATCTGCTGTCGCAACAACAGCCTATTTCTTTTTCTCTGGACTCTGTGGTAATGGAAAACAGATACACAACTTCTATGACTGTTCCACACCTATGAGCCTATGAGCTATATTCTCCATTCCCACTTTTAATAACTTTTCAAACATCTGACTCTGGAAATTATCTTGTGTACCCTTTAGCCATCTCTTCCTCTCTTGCCTCAGTATAGTCAAGGGCTAAGTTTCTGCATGTGAAATATCCACAGGAAATGCTTAATTCCAGACAGGCTTCCCTATGCAACTTGTCCCATGTCTCTGTGCCTCCAGGAGGCAGTCAGTATGTGCTCAGAGAGCATAAAGTTAAAGCAGGATTGTGGCTAGAAATTCACTGATCCTAAGAAGAAATTTCAGAGAGTACTTCCTCTGCTGCCCTTTACCAGGACTCTTAACCCTTCAGAAGAGATTTTCATACTAACAGCCCCTAGTCTCTGGTCTCCAACACTACCTGTAGGTCTTCAGCAGCAAAGATCATATGTGGGACCCTCAGTTAAATAATGTTCTCCTAAACAAGAATCAAAGACCTCAATTATTTGGAGGCTATTAAGCATTTAGAACTATCCACATTATTGTGCTATTCCTCTCCAAGGTAACGGGTCGCCCAGAGTTGTGTCCCGTTTCCTCCGGACAGTCTCATTTTCCAACCAATCTGATATGGAAGAACCTTTTTTCTATCAAGAGTCAGTAGCACATGGGGCAGCTAGGTGGCACAGTGGATACAGCGCTGGCCCTGGAGTCAGGTGGAACTGAGTTCAAATCTGGCATCAGATACTTGACACTTAATAGCTGTGTGACCCTGGGCAAGTCACTTACCACATTGCCTAGAAGGAAAAAAAAAGCCAGTAGCACAAAGGGAAATTTTATATATATATATATATATATATATATATGTATGTACGTATGTATAAAGGGTCATACCAAAGAAGAAAGAAATTAACTTCACTCTTTTCTCTTAAAAGAAACATAAAAGTCACCCGATTATCAATTTAAGAATGGGAAACATAAAGCTTTATTCAGTGAATATTACCAATATTTATTTACTTCATGAGTTGCCGTGTCCAAGGAGCTAACCTATGGTAATGAGCCTCTCTGTGCGTAGCTATATGAGCTGGTCCTTGGAAAATAGACTCTGCCTGTTCTCAGGATCATAGTTGAAGCTTTTTCAGAATAACGGAACCTGCCAGTTCTTATCCTCTGCTAATGCAGCCTTCAAGAACCCAGGGTCAGCTCTCTACCACAATAGGAGGTATATTAGAGAGGACTTGGTGGACTGTTTGCATGTGTCATTATATTAGTTGCATCAAATTCTAGATTGTTACAGAACCCGCCAGGCAAGCTCCTTAATCACACACAAAAAAAAATTGGCCTAACAATACACAAACAAAAACACAAGTGGACAGAGAGTCAGTCAATCAACAAGGATTCATTAAGTGATAGCTACGCACCAAACACTGAGCTCAAGGCTGAATACCCCCACCCAGTCCATGGCATGCATTTCGTTGAACCATCTAAGCATGTTATGATCTGGACAATGGGCATCCGACACTGAACACAGCGCCTGGCACATAGCTGTCACTTAATGAATCCTTGCTGATTGGTTCACTTGATTATTCATCCACTCATTACTTATATATCTTGAATAGAAAGTGCAAATGAATGATGAACTAGGCTCAGATTTAAAGAGGAGGAAAGCAAACCAGATTGCCTTTGGAAAACCACCATAATCCTTTAATGACCCCAAATGTCTCCCTAAAACAAATTCTCATCTTCTTAATAGTAATATTCTATTGGAGTTGTATGGCTGCAAATCATAGAACATTATAGGCACCAAAGAATGAAAGAGGAGCATCACCTAGAAGTCAGTGGAGAAGCACATGGTAAGTGTCAATAGACAGCAGCTCACAAAAAATAGGGCTGTATGGAGAGCCAAAGTAAAGGATGTCATCAATGAAATCTGTAATTGACAGAGGAGATGGCTAGTTACATGGTGAGAGGGAGGCATAACTGAGGGACTGCCCAGGTAGCCCACCAGTACCCTTACTATGTCAAGAGAAAGCAAGGAAGATTCCCTCCCCCAAACCCAGCATTTTGGATGGACCTTCTACAGTGAATTGGTGGATTCATGAAAGCACACTGGCAGATATGGAAGGATTGCAGTCTGCTTCTTTGGAAAGAATAGCACAGGTCTGTTTGAGCAACCATTTAAAATATATCTTATTTTTGGGCAGCTAGGTGGTACAGTGGATAGAGTGCTGGGCCTTGAGTCAGGAGGACCTGAGTTCAGATTAGGCCTCAAACATTTACTAGTGTGTATGACCCTGGGGAAGTTGCTTAATACTATTTGCCTCATTTTCCTCATCTGTAAAATGAGCTGGAGAAGGAAATGGCAAAACATTCTGTTGTCTCTACCAAGAAAACCCCAAATGGGGGTTGCAAAGAGTCAGATACTATGAAAAGTGACTGAACAACAATAAGTATAACCATATAATTGTTATATTATACAGTATATATAATATATATACTATATGATTGTTATATCATGTAGTATATATAATATGTACTATATAATATAATATAACCATATATGAATGGTTATAACTATATATAATGTTATATATTATAATGTATTATTATTAACTATATAAACACACATACACATGTTTAAATATTAAGTTATGTTCAATTAAGAAAGATTAAGGGATTTAGATAGAAGAAATGAAGAGGTATATAGATGGGAAAGAGAAATAGAGAAAAAGAAAGAAGGCAAGGTGTTAATGGGCAGGCCTATCGTCTGGGCCCTTGGTTGTTTAGATCTGACACTGGAACGAAATGAGACACTTTCAGGTCATTGGACATTTAACAAAAAGTTTCCTTAGTGATAGCAGAAGAATGACACTCAACAAGGAGATTCAGCAAGGAGGCCAGCTTGATTCAGTTGAGAACTTCCTGGTGTTAGACAGATATGCTGTGTGATCATGGCTGGAAGCTTCAGAGAGCACTAGAGTTCTTTGCAGATTTTTACTCAGGCGATCAGGAAGCCGCAACAAAACCCTCTGCGCTTAACTATGCAAGTCTCAAAAAGAATTCCTATACATTTTTAAAATATGAGCTAGCTAAGGTATAGCACAGGCATGGGGAGGCCTGAGTCCTGTGGTCAGAATCGATGTGGTCTCAGGCCCCCCCTAAGGGTGTAGGGTAGTCTTAGGAAAAGCTAGTCCAGACTACATGGCAGGGATCTAGGAAATTTTTTGCTTCTATGACACAGGGGAAAAAGGAAAATGAGTTAGACACCAAGACAAACAGAAAGACAGCCAGAGAGAAGAAGAGGGAGAAAAGTGGAGCAGGAAGAGGAGGAAGGAATGAAGTTTACAGGGTGCTGAAGAATGGCTGAGGTCAGTTATTATATAACCTTCTCAGGTAGTGCTATTCACTCGGGCTTTGGGATTCAGAGCTTAAGCTATCACCTCTTATTCTAGCTTTTGAAAGCTCTTCAGTTTTTCAATGATTTAATAATCATTCATTTGTTTCATTCATTAATTTCAACGACTATTAATCCTAGCTCTAAGACTGCACCCTTCAGAGGCTCCATTGTATGACATGTGTACAGCAGTCCAGCAAAAGGAGAAATTATTCTGTGGGTCACGGTAGCAGGGAGAGAGCAATATGATCCTGGAGTCTAGATAAAAGCCAGCCAAGAGCTACATCTCACTGTTGTTTTAACCAATTTGTTCTTTCTGCAAATATTATTGAAGGCCTATGTGCAAAGCACAGTGGAGGAGCACAGAGAGCATACGTCATAGCCTTTACTCCTAAAGAGATTATAGGAGCGATCTATTACAGATCTAGAAAGATGGTCGGGGGGGGGGCAGCTAAGTGGCGTGGTGGATGGAGCACTGACCCTGAAGTCAGGAGGACCTGAGTTCAAATCCAACCTCAGACCAAACACTTGACACTTACTAGCTGTGTGACCCTGGGCAAGTCACTTAATCCCAATTGCCTAAAAAAAAAAAGAAAAAAAGAAAGAAAGATGGCCCTGGGGCAGCTCAGTGATGCAGTAAATAAAGCACCAACCCTGGAGTCAGGAGGACCTGAGTTCAAATTACCAGCTGTGTGATCCTGGGCAAGTCACTTAACTCTGATTGCCAAGAAAGAAAGAAAGAAAGAAAGAAAGAAAGAAAGAAAGAAAGAAAGAAAGAAAGAAAGAAAGAAAGAAAGAAAGAAAGAAAGAAAGAAAGAAAGAAAGAAAGATGGTCCTGATGCAACTTGTTATCATCTACATCTCTATCATCTATAGGGACACAAATAATTCTAATACAAGGCAGCATGTATAAGTGCTGTAGGAAGTATATAAATTCAGTCTTATAAGAGCTCAAAGGAAGGAGAGCTCACTTTCATCTGGGGTGACCAGTGAAGTCTTCATGGAAGTGGCATTTGAGCTGGACCGCAGAGAATGCATGGAATATCTATAAGATAAGATGGAGGATAAAGGCAATAGAGGCAGAGTGACCAGCATGAGCAAAGAAAGGGAGGTGGGGAAGAATGAGGTGCATTCAGGAGCAATCAGAGGTCCAGTTTGGCTAGAACGCTGCTTACATGCAGAGGAAGAGTAAGGAAATAAATATGGAATCTGGTTGGGGCCAGATTCACAAATACTGGAAGAAGGGATTTATACTGCCTGTGCCCACAGGGACCATCTAGAGAACAAGGAACTGTGGAAAAATGCTTGATGAGATGAGACATTGGAGTTGTGAAAATGTGCGGTAATAGAGTGAGGCAGAGGAGGGTGAAGCAGGCTTCCTGGAGGAGGTCTCTCCCTCCTTCTCAGGCAGGAGTTGGCTTAGCACACCTTCCTCTGAACAGCTTAATAGGACAAATTACTTTTTCTCTCTGTCTTGGATGTGAAATAGGAGCTGGTAAAGATGCAGGCATTTCTCAACATCAGGAAATGAAGCAATCTTTTCTAGTCTTGATGCAGGGCCAGGCTCAAGGTCAAAGCCATTTCCCCATAGCTTAAGTCCTTTTTTGTCAGGAGAGCTTCAGTCCTGGAGAAAGACATCAATATTTGTTAATGGAGAGATGTGAGAAGCATAGATGACTGGGATGGAAATTCCCTCACATACACACATCTTTTTTCCCCCAGAGGCCTCCATACAGGTTGCACTCAATAAGCTAATTCTGGCAGATTCATTCATTCATTTATCCATTCATTCAACAAATATTTTTAAATCTGTGAGCAGAGGGCATTATGCTAGGGGATGAAAAGTTTGGATAAGACACGGTCTTTGCCCTTGTGGAACACATAGTCCAGTAGGGGCATAAGACATAAGTACTGATTTAACCTATAATAACACTATTAGGTAATACATGCATTAGAGAGATGCAAAAGAAAGTGCTATGTCAGGTTGGAGGGGAGAGATCATCTTTGCCTGGGAGAATCAAGAAAAGCTTCCTGGACGACAAAATGGCATTTGAATTGGGCTTTAAAGGATAAGAATTAAACAAACAAAGATGAGGAGAGAGGGAGGGCATTACATACATAAAGAAAATCATGAACAAAGTCAAGGAGGTAGGAAGGTGCATGGTACATTTGAGGGACAGAGGACAGACCAGTGTGACTGGAATCTAGAATACATGGAGAAGGGTGGGGCAGGGGAATATGAAAAGAGGCTGGAAAGGGAGAATGCTACCAAATAACGTAAGGCCTTGAATGCCAGGTAAAGAAGTTTGAATTTAGGGGACAATAATGAGCCAATGAAAATTTTTGAGTGTAGCAAAATGACAAGATCTGTGTATGTCCATGTGTCTCAGATTCTTTGAGGACTCTCAGTGTCTAGTTGTCAATCCCAGGCTGACTTCTCCTCTCCTCTCCTTCCCCATGTGCCTGGCCATCAGTCGAAGTGTGCTCTGGGCTCTGTCCCCTGGCGGGAAGAGCACTAGAGACCTGAGCTCTCATCCCAATTCTATCACTAACTTTAATCGCTCTATACCTCAGTTACCTCATCTGCTAAATGGGGAAAGTAAACAGCTATCCTATCTACCTCGTAGGATCTCAACAGTGCAATGCACCATATAAAGATACGACACAGATGTTGAATGCAGACTGATTTTGTCACCAGTCAGAGCCTAGCCTTTGTTGTCTTCAAATCCTCAGCACCTCTTCCCTGAACTCCTGCCAAAGCCTCCTAATTGGTGTCCCTGTTTGTGTTTTGTCCTCCAGCCATTCCATATTCTACACAGCAGCCCAAATGACATTCCTAAAGTACAGTTCCAACTGTGTTTCTCCAGCGCTCAAGAAATTTCAGTGGCCCCCTATTGCCACTAGGCTTATCAGTTTGGCATTTAAACCCTCCCACAATCTGGCCTCCATCTTCCTTTCCAGTCATTTCATATTAGTCCCTTTCACAATCTCTGCAACCTAGTCCAACTAGCTGCTATTTGCTTCCCATACACGACACTGCATCTCCTCTTTGTACCTTTACGCGTGTGATATGGCCATCCTTCTAATGCACTCCCCCTTCACCTTCACCTTGTAGGGTCCAGAGCTTCCTTCAAAATATAGCTTGGGAATCACCTCCTCTATCAGGCCTTTCCTGATCCTTCCAGACATGCTGTGTCCCTCTTGAAATTATATTATTTTGTGTATACTTATCCATATACAAGTCACATCAACACCATCATCCTCATCATCACCATTACAGCATTTCTGTAGAGCTTTAAAGTTTGCAAAGCACATTACAATTATTTTCTCATTTCGTCTTTTTGAGGCAGTTGGGGGTAAGTGACTTGCCCGGGATTACATAGCTAGTGAGTATCAAGTGTCTGAGGCCAGATTTGAACTCAGGTCCTCCTGACTCTAGTGACAGTGCTCTATTCACTGCGCCACCAAGTGCCTCTATTATGTCAGGGAGATAGATGCTATTATTATCCCCTATTTTACAGATGAGGAAACTGAGGCAGACAAAGGCTAAGTGACTTGTCCAGGGACACACAGCTAGTAAGTGTTTGAAATAGGATTTGAGCTCAGATCTTAGTGACTCTAGGTCCAGTGCTCTAGCTATGGTGAGAAGGTAAATTCTTAAGAGAAGGGATGGGGTTTGTTTTTGTCTGTCTGATGTCTAGGATAATTTTTGTAGAAAGGTCCAGACCTGTGATTTCATGAGTTTACAAAACTGATGTGGAAATCTCCCTCGACCAGTGCAGAGGAGCAATTCTGTTCTGTAACTTCCAGGCTTGGAGAGCTGCCCAGAGCCCTGACAGGTTAAGTAATTTCCCCAGGATTACAGAGTCAGGTCTTAAACCCAAGCCTTTGACTCACAGGATGGCACTCTACCCATTAGGCAACCTGCCTCTCTGCCTTATGCATAGCAGACACTTAAGGGCTTTTGAATTGAATCATAGCGAAGGTGCAGGAAAGTGAGCCCAACGTTTGTAACAAAAGGCTGTATGTGAGAAGTGTGAGAAGTAGAAACTTGGGGGCAGAGCAACACAATAGAGGGAGAAATCACTTCCAGTAGAGGAAGGTGAAGTACTAGGGCTGACATGATAGTGGAGGGGCTGCTTGGGCTGGGTCTTGAAGGCTGGGCAGGGTTTCAAAAGCCCAAATCAGGCAGGTGGAGCCTCTCTCTGCTCTGTGCATATCTGTCTATGGCTTTGATGTTCCTGGGGGTCATGCCGGCATCCTCGCAGGGCCTGGAGACAGCATTCCCTCTCTTCATTATTGTGGCAATCAGGACTTACTCCCTCAACCAAAGACTTACACGAGTGGGTTGAGTTCCAAGAGTGTAGCCACTGCTCCCCCTCAGGATTCTGGAAGAAGGGAATCCCTGAGAGGTGGGAATCACCAGCTTCTATTTCCCCAATAAGAATCACCATTTAATATCAATGTCATGTAACTAATTTGTAGATCAACATCTGACCGATATGAACAATTCATCAATTAACTTTTACAAAGGAATGTTGGCATAGAGTGCTGGACCTGGAATCGCTAAGATCTGAGTTCAAATTCCATCTCAGGCATTTACTAGCTGTATGATCCTGGACAAGTCACTTAACCTTTGTTTGCCTCAGTTTCCTCAACTGTAAAATGAGAGAAATAATAGCACCTACCTCCCAGGATTGTTGTGAGTCTCAAAAGAGATAATATTTGTAAAAAAAGCTTAGCCCAGTGACATGCACATAGTAGGTACTATAGAAATGCTGGTTATAATTTTATATAGTATTTAGTCTGTCAACAACAGACGTTTATTAAGTGCTTACTATGTGCCAGGCACTATATTAAACTCTGGGAACATAAAGATAGGCAAAAACAGTTCCTGTCCTCCTCACAGTCTATCGGGATAGACAACAACCAAATAACTGTATACATCTCATATAGACGCATGCAGGGTATATTGGAGATGAGTTCAGAGGGAAGTACCAGGGGTGGAACTGGGAAGGGTTTCTTGCTGAAGGTGAAATTTGAGCTGCGACTTGAAAGAAGCCAAGGAAGCCAGGAATCAGAAGCATGGAGGGAGAGCATTGCAGGTGTGGGGGACAGTCGGTGAAAATGCACAGTCAGGAAATGGAGGGTCTCAAACGAGGAACCATCAGCTGGCCGGTAAGTGGGGTGCTCCCAGACTGTGTGGGGGGAAGCAAAGAAGAAGAATGGGAGGGGTCAGGTGGTAAAGGGCTTTGAAAGCCAAGCAGAGGATTATGTATTTGATCCTGGAGATAATAGGGAGCCATTGGAGTTTATCGAGTACAATGCGACGAGGTCAGGCCTGCACTTAGTGACTCTGGGTTCAGCGCCCTGTCTGCACTGGGAAGGCAAATCCTTAAGGGCAGGGGTGGGTCAGATGACGTTACTAGAAGTGAAGTATAGAAACATGGTCTCTCCCCTTTATGCTTCAGTTCCTGCGGACAATACACTCAAACTAAAAGGGTTGGTGCTAAAGATTCCACCCACCATATTTGTTCACTTCTGCATTTGGCATAGCCGATGGGTGAGTTGCTCCCTTGCTGGCAGAACATAGTGTTTCAGCTGCTGCATCAATTCACTGCTGAGCTGGGCCAAGCGGATTGCTCCTCAGAGCTCGCTTGCCATTGGCCTTGGCTGCCGCAGCCACGAGCAGGCTCTAGGTGGGCTCCAGTTACTGAATCTTGGGTGCCTTTTCTAACCTTTTGAAACTCACAAGGTCACAATGTGGCCCACCCACTTCCACTACCTATGATCAGGAAAGAATAAATACAAAAGAGGCAGAAAGAAGTAGCATCACCATGATTTCATGGCCACATGGCTACTGAGTGAGAGAGAGGACCTGAGATCCCTTCCTTACTAGGAGGCCCACAGCGGTTTGCCCTCCTCCATCAAATCTCACCAGGGATTTTTTTTTGCCTGTTTTTTTGCCTGTTTGTGCCTTTTATATGTACACCCAGCTTAGTCAATTATTCAACAAGCATTTTTTAAAGTGAATCCTATGTACTAAGTACTGGGAATACAAATACAAGCAAAAAAAAAAAAAGACAGTTCCTGCCCTCGTGGAGCTTACATTCTAATTGGGTGAGAAATTAAGAGATGGCTGGCCTGGGTGCCCTCCTTAAAGTTCTAGGAGGATTGTTGTTCATCCTTCATTCTTGAAGAGGACCATGACATCAGGAAGGTGATGCCATGACATGCAAGAGAGTTGGATTTAAGGAGGGAGGGCTGTGCAAAGTCACTAGCCTCACTTTCCTCCAGAACCATCTAGGTGCAGCGGTAAGATACTGATCGAGATGACTGGAGATGGCGTCTCTCTCACAGGAGCCACAGGGCTGAAGTGATCTGCTAGGATGGAGAGTTTTCTGGGGCGTGATGGAGGAGTGAGAATTGAAGCTAGTGAGACACGAAGAGTTTAAAGATTGTATCACATCATCACATAGCTGATAGGAAACAGTTAGAAAGTATCTATACAGGCTCTGAAATAAAGAACAAGACCCTCCATTAGGCATCATCACGCACTTCCAGAGGAAGGCGCGCCAGTGTTTGCACGTGATCCTAAGGATCAGTCTGCCATTGGCCAATCCTCCCTAACCTCCCCATCCATCAGCAAGCAACCAGCAAACACTAAGCACCCGCAGTGTGTCAAACTCTGTGCTAAGCACTAGACATGCAAAGACAAAGGTGAAATGGTTCCTCCCCTCAGGAACCTGACAGCACAAATGGCAGGCACCGCGTACATACGCAAGAATAAATGAAACACACGTAAAACATGGGTTACCTTGTCGTCAGGGAGGAGTCACTGGCAGCTAGAAGGACCCGGCAAGGATTCATGCAGAAAGCAGTACCGGCATTAAGTCAAGAAGGAAATCAGGCATCTCAAGAGCTGGAGGGTGACGGGAAATGTGTTCTGGGCATGGAGTATACAGCCTATGAAAAAAGCACAAAGAAGGAAAACGGGGTACCATGTATGAGGAGCAGTGGGAAGACCAGTTTGGCTACATTGCTGTGTCCGAAGAAAAAATTGGTATCTAAAGGCCAACCCTCTGGTAATGAGCCTCTCATCTTAGGATGATGGGTAGGGTTCATTAACAGGCCTGTACTCAAAGTTTTTCCAGCATGGTAGGACCAACCAAAACTTGTATTTTGTTGGCATGGTCTTGGAGAACCCAGTCTCATTTATGTCATTACAAGTGAAGATAGGTAGGAGGTAGATAGAAAGAAAGACAGAGGTGGATAGATGGATGGATAGAGATGAATGTATAGAGAGAGACGGATAGGTGGATAGATAAATAAATGGATAGATAGTTAATGGATGTTTGAAAGAGAAAATGAAAAGAGTGAGAGGAGAAAGGTAGCATAGTACCATGGTAAGAGCTCTGACTCTGGGATCAGAGGCCCTGAATTCAAATTCTAACTCTAATGTTTACTTCCTGTGTGATCTCAGGAAAGTCTTTTCATCTTCTGAGACCACAGTTTCCTTGGGTATAAAATGAGAAAGGTTGAGCTAGATGGCCTTCCAGTTTTTAGCACCCACACGAATGGAAGGGGAGTCTACTGTCAAACAACCATAGTTCACAAAGCCATCTATCCTCCACGGCTTTGGAGTATTTCTACTTACATTTGGAAAAAGGTTTGTTTGGTGTCCTGGGAATCTATACCCCTTCACATAAGTTTCCCACTCCTGAGCACTTGAATCAGGGCAAGCTGGTTGCCCATCCATCCCTGATTCCACTCCTCCCTTAGACTCAGGATGGAAATGGACAAGCAGCCAACATGATCTCAGGTAGCAGCTTGGGCTCAACCTGAGCAATGCTGTCTCCTCAATCCTCCCACCCCAAAACATACTTTACCACCATAAGAAGATTCTGGATAACTGACCAGGAATGCAGAAAATCAACAACAGCAACAACAACAAAAATCCCATTTCCATGGGAATGATGTAGTCAAGAAGTGAAAAGCCAGACTTCCTTAGAAGAGTTAGTAGATTCCAACTGGAAGTGAATAGTAATGCACTGCATAGCAGGGCAGCAGGAACTAATTTTAGATTGGCCATTTTGGGAGGTGAACATCCCCATGTCCTTTCTCAAGAGCAACTCAGAAAATTTTCTTTACCTCCCTGGCCAACCTGAAAAGAGCTATAGCTCCCACTTTATCAGCCTTATCCTGTCTTGTCCTGATGAGTGGGAGAAAAAAAGTTGGGTTGGCTAGGGAGGAACCTAGTTTATAAACCCGAATGTGAGGAGAGCTGAGAATTCTGCTCCTGACTCACTAAGTGAGGTTATGCTAGTCACATTTTATCTCTCAGTCTCAATTTCCTTACTCTATAAGGAGTGGGAAGAATCATATCTGTCATTCTGTTCTGCAGATGGCCATCGTGAAGCATCAATGCCATTAAGTGGGATAGTGGATAAAGAACTAGATCTAGAGTCAGGAAGACCTGAGCTCAAATCTTGTCTCAGATACTCAGTAGCTATGTGACCCTGGGCAAGTCACAGTTACTGGTTAAGTAACCACTGTCTGTCTACCTCCAAGGTTTGTTGTGAGGATAAAATGAAATACTATTTGTATTTTTTTTTATTAATTTGTTTTGATTTATCAACAATCACTTCCATGTTCTTTTGAGTTGAAAATTTTTCTCCCCCTTCCTCCTCCCCACCCTCCCCAAGACGGCATACAATCTGATATAGGCTTTTTAAATTTACATTCCCCATTAGTGAAGTTGTAAGTAAAAATTAAAACCAAAAGGAGGAACCATCAGAAAGATGAAACAAAACTCAACAGAAGATAAAAATAAGTGATAGCGATTCGATTTCCATAGTTCTTTTTTCGGATGTGGACAGCATTTTCCATCCCGAGGCCTCTGGAGATGTCTTACATACTTGTAATGCTGAGAAGGGTTCAGTTTATTAATATTAGTCATCGCATAACATGGCTGTTACTGTGTACAAAGTCTTCTTGGTTCTGCTCACTTCACTCAACATCAGACCATATAAGTCTTTCCAGGTTTTTCTGAAGTCAGCCTGTTCATCATTTCTTATAGCACAATAGTATTCCATTCCATTCATGTACCACAACTTGCTCAGCCATTCCCCAGTTGATGGGCATCCCTCAATTTCCAATTCTTTGCCACCACAAAAAGAGCTGCTATGAATATTTTTGTATGTGTGGGTCCTTTTCCCATTTGTTTGATCTCTTTGGGATATAGCCCTAGAAGTGTTATTGAAGGATCAAAGGGTATGCACATTTTTGTGGCCCTTTGGTCATAGTTATAAATTGTTCTCCAAAATGGTTGGATCATTTTACAACTCAACCAACAATGTGTTAGTGTTCCAATTTTCCCACATCTTCTCCAACATTTATCATTTTCCTGTTTTGTCATGTTGGCCAATCTGATAGGTGTGATGTGGTACCTCAGAGTTGCTTTGACTTGCAAGGAAATACTATTTGTAAAGAGCTTTACAAGCCTACCAGAAAAGGCAGGGTGAACCCATCCCCTGCCCATTTCATGAGGGCTTGTAAAAAGTCCTGCCCTTCACACATGTCTGGCATGAAGGCCCTGGGCATGAATTCCATGATGTTGAGCCCACAGGCTATAACCCCTCAGGGGCATACAGTTGGAACACTATGCCAGTTCGGACTCCTCCCTGGCTGGGTCAGCTGCTACCTGAGGTGATCACATTGAATGAACTCTCCTTTGCCCATGGGGAGAACAGCTAGACAGACAAGAACAGCCCCCAGGAGCCACCACAGCTGATCCCATGGACCCCCAGAACATTTATCTTCTTTTCAAACCAAATGGACAGCTGAAACAGCCCCCAAGTTATACCCCAGGAGATTCCTTGGACCCCAAGTCCTCTCATGTTTATCTCAAATAACTTCACCCAGGAACTCCTCTTTCAATACCCACCACAGATTATCCCATTTCAGCCCATACAAGTTCCTTCTATCCAGCATCAAGGGACCATTGAGAACAACCCTCATTTTCAACCCCAGGACACTCCTTCAGCTATTATTTTTGACATCATGAAAGATGAGGAAGCAGGTCAATGTATCTCCCGAGATAGACCCCAGGGAATCTCTTCCACTGATACCCCTTTGATCAATGAAGAAAATAAAGAGCCAGTTGGAACCAGTTCCCAAGACCCAACAGCACTGACCCCATAAACTGTGCAAACTCTTGATTCAACCCACAATGAAGAGACAGCTGACACCACCAACCAAGGTCATACTCCACAGGAGATCTTCTACACCCCAACATCCTATATCCAGAGTCAAGGGACCTATGAATGCCACCCCCAAATACAGGCTTAATGTGTCCACCCCCACTTCCATACCCAGATAAACCCCCACAATTCTTCCCCCCACCTCTGAATTTCTTTCCCAACATATACATCCAAACACAATAGGAACCTAAATGTAAAGACTTCAGTTTTCTCAAAAGCAGAAGGTTGCACTGTTACCTACTTTGGAGAGGACTTGCCTGTTAGCGGCCTTGGCTGGGTCCCTAGACTCCTGCTTTCATTTCCTCATTTTGCTTCTCTTCCTCTTTGCTCGATATATCTAAGTAAACCAAGATATTACATAAAAAGAGCTTTACAAACCTTAAAGTATTGTGTAAATGCGAACTAGTATTATTGTTCAGTAAGTATTTACTGAAGGCCTACCAATGTGCCCAGCCCGTTGAAGATGAAAAAGAAGGTAATGGAGAGATGAAAGTCTTTTTGCACCCTTGAAAAGAGAAAAAAACTGTCATAATTTCTGATCTCAAGTGTAAGACCTGGGTTCCAGTCCTGATGAACACTTACTAGTTGTGTGATCCTGGCAAAATCACTTCACTCTCATGACCTCATGTTTTGATTATTGCAATAACCTTCTGTTTGGTCTCCCTGACTCAAGACTGCCTATTCCAGTCCATCTAATACTCAGCTGTCAAGTTACTCTTCCTAAAGCACAAGTCTGACCTACTCAGTAAACTCCAGTGGTTCTCTATTACCTCTAGGATCAAATGCAAAATCTTCTGTTTAACTTTTAAAGCCCTTCATAACATGGCCCCTTCCTACCTTTCCAGTGTTCTTACTACTTACTCCTCTCCACATTATCTGTGATTCAATGACATCGATCTGTTTGCTGCTCCTTATACAAGACACTCATCTTCCAATTCTATGCACTTTCACTGGCTGCCCCCAAGCCTGAAATTCTATTTCTCCTCATGTCTATCTCCTGGTTTCCATGGCTTCCTTCAATTCCCAGCTAAATCCCACCTTCTATTAAAAAAAAAAACCTTTCCCAATCCCCCTTAACGCTGGTGCCTTCCCTCTGTGATTATCTCCTGCCTACATCTTGTTTGTACACAGTAGCTTGCATGTTGTCTGCCCCATTAGACTGTGAGCTGCTTGAGAGCAGGAATTGTCTTTTGCCTTTCTTTGTATCCCCAGGACTTAGCACAGTGCCCAACACATAGTAGGTGCTTACTGACTTGACTCTCTGGTCTTAAGTTTCCACATCTGGAAATGGGGTGACAACTCTTGAACTCTTTCCCACACAAGGCTGAGAAAAGCATTTTGCAAACCGGAAAGTACTTCATAATTGTGAGCTATTAAGCCTCATCCATCATGACAAATGGACAAAAGAAATAAACAGATGAGTCACAGAAGAAACACAGTAAAACACATTTAGCAAAATGATCAACCTCATTAATTACTAAAGAAATGTAAATGAGCACAACTACAACACTCATGAGAATGGGGGAAAAAATAAAGAAAAAGGATAAAGCCCAAAGCTATCAGTGGGAGAAGAAAATCTACTCATCTATCATTATTCCTGGTGATAACACTAATTGGAGTAATCTCTCTGGACAGCAATCCAGTAATAAGGAGCAAGAGCCGCAAAAGTAGTCATATCCTTTGACCTGATAATCCCACTCCTGGGACTGTATCCCAAGAAGCAGTTTAAAAGGAAAATAAGATCTTTCCTTATGAAGATGTTTATAAAAAGGTTTGTGGTCAAGTTAACAAGCGTTTATTATGCACTTACGATGTGCCATGCATTGTGCTAAGCACAGAGGATACGAAGAAAGGGAAATACCGACCCTGCCCTCAAGGAGCTTACAGTCTAACGGGGGAAACGACATACAAACAACTATGTGCAAATGTGACATCTTAGACTACCTAAAATGGAGTCCTCCACAAGGGAGACACTGGGGGACCTACTTCCTGAAGACTAGAAAACTGGAACATTCGGTATTGGCCTACCATGTGATTGAAAGCAGCTTTTCATTAGCCGCATGGCCACAACTATTTATATCTTTAAAACTGCTTGGCTGAGCACCATCAGGGCCTTTCTTGTATTCTAGTCTGAGGGACATCATTCAGTAAGAGAAAAGGGCCTGAGGGCTGCCTTGTTTCTCTCCCCTCTCCTTTAGACTATGTGACCCTAAGAAATAATCCTAGGTTTCTGACATTTTCCTTTGTCTTTTTCCATTCTAGGTGTGGGTAGTGAAGTCTCCAACCCAGGAGCTTCAGCCACAGAGATGCAGGGGGTCAGGAATCTAGGCTGCAGTCAACCCAGCAGCAAAGTCCCGAGGAGCAAGTGTTAAGGTCACTCCTTTGGACTTGGACTCAGGCTTGGTGGGATGCTTTGTAAGAACTGAGCAAAGCTATGACTCTAATCCCTCTACCCTTTCCAGAGAATGAGGAGGTGTTGGAGTTGGGGAAATTATGCCCCAGAAGCATTATGTTATATTTTGTTATATTGTGTTGTGTTGTGTGTTATAATTACATATTATATACTATATATTATTTTATGTTATAATTATATATTATATCATATTACATATGATACATAATATGCTTACATATCATATTACATGTGATATATATTATTTTATGTTATATTATATATTATAGGCATATTATATATATATATATTGTATATATTATATATATATATAATAAAAATTTATATCATATCATATATTATAGGCAACCAGGTGGCACAGTGAATAGAGCACTGGGCTTGGAATTAGGAAGACTTACCTTTGTGAGTTCAAATCCATCCTCAGACACTTACTAGCTGTGTGACCCCTGAGCAGGTCACTTATACCTCAGTTTCCTCATTTGTAAAATGAGCTGGAGAAGGAAATGACAAACCACTCCAGCATCTTTGCAAGAAAACCCCAAAATGGGGTCACAGAGAATCGGACATGACTGAAATAACTGAACAACAGCAAAACGTTATATTATATTGTATATCTATATATTTGTTTTTGCTATATCTTTGAAGGCAGGAGGAGGTGCTGATGGTCTGCACCAGGGTGGTGGCAGTGCCAAATGATGGATGCTTTGAAGATATTATGGAAATAGATTGGATATAGGGATAGGAAGGGGAGTGAAAGAGAGCATGGAGTCAAGGATGACACCTAGATTCGAGGCCTGGATAATGGGAGGATGGTGGCTCCTTTGACAGTAACAGGGAAATTTGGAATGGGGAGAGTTTGGGGAGAAAGTGGGCTACAGTGATGGAAACCACTTCTCTTCATTCTCTTGGTAATTTTCTTCTCTCACTCTGCACCATGCTGAGGGAGGCCTTCCTTTTCTCCACCCTTTGGCTCTGGTGACAACTTTCTAGTTATCATCACCAGATTCTCCCACAATTACGGTTACGGAGGCACTGAGTTTCCCAGGGACTTCCACTCCTGTAGTTGAGGAATTGTCTTCAGTGGAAACCATCACTGTGTCATAAAGCAGTGTGACAGAAGATGGTCCCAATAACATTGTTGATGAGATGATTGTTGCTGAAGGAATAGAAGTTGGAAGTTGTTGTCATTTCTCGAAAAAGACCAAAAGCAGCATTAGATAGTAAAATAAATGCCAGTCTACCTTCAAGTTCTAGAATCTCTTCCTGGGACCTCAATAACTATCCAAGAGGCTCCCAAGCCTTAGAACAGACCCATTTCAAGTAGGATTCTACAAATTAGACTTTTGTCTCAATGGAGTTCTCCATTTGGGTGTAAAGTGACATTTTGAGACTTGGAGGATCACAGATTTAAGGATGGAAAGACTTCTATACCCTTCATTTTACAAATGAGGAAATAGGTTTAATGATGAATAACAGGCAGGTTTTTTTTTTAAATAAGTCATTCATCTTGGTAGGTGGAAAGGATTTGATTTCTTGGTGGGTGGTTGCTTTTTTTAAATTTGGAAAGTATTGCATTAGTTTCATACTGTCAGACTGGTAGTCTACGATGTGCCAATCTCATGCTTCTTCTATCTCTTTCTCTTTGTCTCATAAGCTCTTGCTTAATTACTGGTAAATCCCTTTTTACCCCAATTTTCCACTATGCTGATTCCATAAGACAATTCTCATATTATAAAAGCCCAACCCTGCCTTCCAGATCAAGGTCAATCATTTGAACTGATTCTTGCTTTATCTGCTTTGGAGTGAATTTTCTCTTTATTGTTTATTGTTAATTTGTATCTCCAAGTGAGATGTTAATAATAAATACTGTGGTAAAACCCCCCACCCACCGAAAGAAAAGAAAAGAAAAGGGCTATAGTCCAAAGACAGTGGAAAAAGCACCAGATTTAGAGGTAGGAAAATTGAACTAAAATCCTGCCTGCTATTGACTACTTTTTTTTTTAAGCTAGGCGATGGGGTTAAGTAACTTGTCCAGGGTCACACAGCTAGTAAGTGTTATGTATCTGAGGCCAGATTTGAACTCAGGTCCTCCTGACTCCAGGGCTGGTGCTCTATCCACTGTGCCACCTAGCTGCCCCTATTGACTACCTTTTTGATCTCAGATAAGTCATTTCCCCTTCCTGGGCTTAGTTTCCTCCTCTTTATAATGAGGTTATTGGACTAGATCAACTTTTTGGTCTCGGGATTCCTTCACACCCTTAAAAATCATTGAGAATTGGGGCAGCTAAATGGCACCATTTGTCCTATTTTACAAATGAGGATTCTGGGGAGTTTTGCTGTAGAGGAACATGACCCTGAGATCATTAGATCATAGAGGTCATGTAGAACTCCATCATGTTACAGATGGTGAAACTAAGGCCTTGGGAGGTTAAGAGACTTGTCCAAGGTCATACAGCTAGTAAGCATCTAAGGCAAGACCCAAAGCAGGTCTTCCTGACTCCACAAGGCCAGTGCTCTACTCTCTTTGCTACATTGCCTTTCTTTTTGGGTAGATAGTGGAATGGAGAGAGGTGAAGGATTCCTCAGAGACAGTACAAGTGAGCAGGCATAGGTTGGCCAGGCTTAAATGGGTAGCAATCTTCACTGGCAGAGGCAGTGGCCACCTTGAGAAGATAATAGATCCATTGAAGAATATCATCTAAAGGAAGTCATACCCACCAACCCTCAGTTTCCACATCTATGAAATGTGATGATAATAATATTTGAACCATCTACCTCACAGGTAGATGTTGTGGGGAGAAAGTGAAATAATGCATTTAAAACTCTCAGGGTTTTTTAACCTTTTTGTGTCACAGATCACTTTGGCAATCTGGTGGAGCCTATGGACTCCTTTTCAGAATAAGATTTTTAAAATGCACAGAACAAAATAATAGTGTTACAAAGGTAACCAATTATATTGAAATATAGTTATCAAATGAAAATTAAACCAAGTTTACAGACCTCAGATTAAGAACCCATGTTCTAGATAGATGTTAGCTATATTTATGGCACCAAATAATATAAGGCCAATTTAAAAATAACCTCTTCCCTCATAAAAAAAAACCTTCATATCTTCCAATTAATTTTATTTGGAATCTAACAATATTGTCCAAACATCTTTCCATTCTGCAGAACAGGTCACAGAAACTAGGAGAGATTGTTCCTCTCAATATATTAAGAAAAACGGATTTATTTGCTATCAGTAAGAAGTTTGAGGGACAGATCACAATGGAGAGTTCTGATTCATTGGAGTAGGGAATGCTAAACCACTTCAGTATCTTTGCCAAGAAAACCCCATGGACAGTATTAAAATGCTAAAGGAGATGACATCAGAAGATGAGCCCCTCAGGTGTCAAGGTCCAGGCATGCTATGGCCCATAGGGTCAGGAAGAGTTGGACGTGACTGAATATTGGAAACAACATTGAATATGGATGCAGAATTGGTATCTGTGGAATTTTAAAAGGTTTAGAAGAGGAAGACTCCAGCATGATGGGAAGGTCCTCTTTGGAGTATTTATGGAAAGATATGGACAAAGATCATACCAGTAGGGAAGGTGTGGATGAAATGGGATTTGTATCCAAGGAGGAAACATCTATATTAATGAGATCATGGATCTTTATTGGTTGTAATAGGTCATCTTATAGTCTAGTTCACAAAATTTTTACTTTTTCACTTCACTTACATGAGTGAGTATTTAAGGAGATTGTTTTAGGTCACCACATTTTCACTTGAAAGATTTAACAGTTTTATTTTTAAATGCTCGTGGGTAATTTTATTGGAACCATGCAACTATCTTTAAAAATCTGGTGACTTAATCAGTAGAAGCAAACAGCAAACCCAATTTGAAACTAGCTATTATCCATGTAGTGAGGTTGAAATGGCCCATAGGGGCCATCCTATGGGCCATCCTGACAATGCTCAATCCTGGTTTTGGTTGACCACTGTGGGGAGTTTGAGAGCCTGATTCTAGCCATGTACAATTCAAAACCAAAGGTCTTACACTTTGGTATGACAGAGTCCCCTTATTTGACAGATAGCCAAAAGAGCTGATGACTCAGTGGATGTATAAAACAGCTAGAGGTCTTCTCAGTGGTTTGACTTACTTCTGACTTCGTATAGCATCAAGACGGTATTGAGCTGTTTCCTAAGAGCAGAGTGGAGAAGGGGGTAGCTGTATTCCAAGCCATCTCCATGTGTCCATGAGCACATGTCAGATGTGCTCCTACCTAGAACGTGTCCTACCTAGGCAAGCCTGAGTCTGGGTTTGTACTACCTCTTAGGCAAACAAGTACTTATCCCAAGATGGCAGGCTCCAGACTTGGAGGTATCATTTTAAGTTTGGGAGGTCCAGAGGTCTCGTTGGTTTGGAATTGTGGTAGCAGAGAAGGAGTCCTTAGTAACTGCTTTAGCACTTTGGAAAAGTATGTCCACCAATATGAGGATTGGCTGAAGCTTGGCCATTTTACCAGAATACGGGGAATTATTGTATTGACTAGCTTAGAGCCAAGGAGAGCTGTAAAATGCTTAATTTTCAGTCCTGAAAACTACTTTATGTTCTGATAGGTTTAAGTATCAGTCTCTCAAGAAATTGTACCTGTAGTTTTAAGTTGTTATTGAATCCTATTTTTCTAAGTCATTCTGTTAATCCATGCTATGAGACTTTTTTTGGTGAGTATCTCTTTTGTGTGCAGGAATAAATTATTTGTCATATATCTGATACACAATATCAGTAGCTTTCTGATCAGTAGTGCCTCCTCTCTTTTTGGGGAAATCCTAGATGTGAGCCATAATGTAGGCTATAAGTAAATTCATATCCATGACATTGGGGTGAGGGTTTAATGAACCAATGGGTATAATAACAGGGAGTCTAGTCTCTTTTACATTGGAAGCTAGGAGATCGGAAGCAGGCTCCTTCAGTACTGAACCAGGTCCAGTCACGTGCCTGCCCCCCATACACACACACACACACACACACACACACACACACACACACACACACAGTGGAGAAGGGAATGCTGAAATACTCCAGTCTCTGTGGGCTCAGGAGTAATTCCTCAGAGTTAGATAATATTTGCATTTCTTCTATATTTGTGCTTGGGTTCTTGTAACTTCAATATGTTTGTTACAATGTCAATATCTTGGTTGTTAATACTTCTTAGAATCACAGAATTTCAGAGTTAAAAGGTACCTTCTACCATCCTGTCCAATCTAGTAACCCCAAATATTCATGTCTGCATCATTCCTGACAAATGGTTATGTAGCCTTTGCTGGAAGACTTCTAGTGAAAACTAGAACCTCCTTAGACAACCAATTCCACTTTCATATAGCCCTAATTCTTATGATTTTTTTTCCAAATACAAAACCTAAATTTATCTTTTTATAAGTCCCATGAAATGCTCTTAGTTTTGCACTCTGGAGCCATAGAGAACAAATCTAGCATTTCTCCTATGTAAACAGCCTTTCCTATCCCCCATCCCAAAATTTCCTCTTCTCCAGGCTAAACATCCCCAAATCCTTCATATGGCACAATATGTAAAGTTTTCACTGTTCTAGGTGCACTCCTCTGCACATTCTCTGAATCTACTGTTTCTTTTCATTCAATCTTCATGCAATCATAGATGTCATTGGACTTTGGTGGAGACCTATCTCTGCTGACAGACAGGAATTCCCCAATATGCTTAGTACTGAGTCCTTAAAAGACTTACCCCCTTTTGTTTTCTAAGGGAAGAAGAAAAGATGCCTTGTAAGAGGTGATGCTGTCAGAAATTGAAAAAAAGAAAAAAGAAAAAAAAGAACAATGATTTGAGGAAGTGAGGAGGTAAGCTATTTGTTGCCACCACTGAAACTTCTACCAAAGGTGAATACAGAGACACCAAAACATCAAAGGAAGCCTACATCAGACATCAGAGAGGAAGGTGGGACCCTGACAAAAAGCCTCACCAGAATCTGAAACTAACAGAAGCTGCAGAGAGCAGTTTCCATGGAAACAGAAGCAGAGCTGCAGCGATGGGGACAGTATTGGACTCCAGGGCCAAGAGAAGCATCTGGGTACATCCTGGTCCTACTGAGCTTACTCAGAGATCCAGACCCTGTGATTGGTGATCGGGCTGGTGAACCTTTTGCCTCACCATCCCAGAAGAGCATGCACTTGGTTCAAAGCTTATTTCTGTTTCTTTAAAGCTCATTTTTATATTTGTGTTCACCTAGTCTCTTTAAAAGTCAGTAATAAAATGAAACTCTGCTTAACCATTGAATTACTGGTCTGTACGTGTTTCATTTGCTCAAGGGTAGTTGAGAGGGAGGTAATGATTGAAGAGAGAGTGAAAAGGGGAAAGAGAAAGAGAGAGTGAAAGAGGAAATAAGGAAGGAAGGGGAAGAAAGAAAGAAAGAAAGAAAGAAAGAAAGAAAGAAAGAAAGAAAGAAAGAAAGAAAGAAAGGAAGGAAGGAAGGAAGGAAGGAAGGAAGGAAGGAAGGAAGGAAGGAAGGAAGGAAGGAAGGAAGGAAGAAAGAAAGAAAGAAAGAAAGAAAGAAAGAAAGAAAGAAAGAAAGAAAGAAAGAAAGAAAGAAAGAAAGAAAGAAAGAAAGAAAGAAAAGAAAAGAAAAGAAAAGGAAACAAAAGAAGAAAGAGACACAGAGATGGATTTTCTTATAACTGCTATAACATTCCCAGCATGGGGGCACAGAGTTAGAGAGAAGAGATTTGTTGAGTCATATTCTTTTACCTTTCCCAGAGCTAAGAAGAACATGTGAATTCAGAACAATACTTGGAGGCTACGTTTGGTGTGTGAGGTGATGCCTCTGGCATTTTTACCTTTGCCTTTGTTGCATCCTGCACAGGTTGATGGCATTGACTAAAGAAAAAGTCATGGCCCTAAGTGAGGAGCTGGCAACAAAGCACACCACCCACATGGGAGTAAAGGGCCATCCAAACAGGAGTAATTAGTATGGCTTAGGGGCAGCTAGGTGGTGTAGTGGATGGAGCATTGGGCTGGGAGTCAGGAAGGCTCATCTTCCTGAATTCAAATCTGGCCTCAGACACTTATTAGCTCTGTGACCCTGGACAAGACATTCAATTCTATTTGCCTCAATTCCTCATCTGTAAAATAATCTGGAGAAGGAAATGGCAAACCACTCTAGCATCTTTGCCAAGAAAACCCCAAACAGGACCATAAAGAGTCAGGCATGACTGAAGAACAAAAAGTATGGCTCACTGACTTTTTGCCCTCTGCCCCACACTATTAGACTCATGCCACCATCTACTGCTAGATATATAATGGACATTGCATCAAAATTATTTATAAGAAGATGAAAACATTTAAAATTAAAATGGCCATTGAGTATTGCACACCAGTTCTGCCAAGGCATTCTGACAAGCAATTGATTGTGCATGATATTTCGTGGGCATATTCAATGGCTGATTCTACAGCAAAAACAAAGTAACTTTTCTATCACATTCCATTTCAACCAGTCTCTTCTAGGTCCCCAAATTGCCTTCAGACTTAGCAGAGCAAATCCATTAGCTGTCAATCAGTCAACAAGCATTGCACCTACTATGTTCCAGGCACTGTGCTAAGTACTGGGGATATGAAGAAAGGAAAAAATACTCCCTGCTATGGATAAGCCTTCAGCCTAATGAAGCATGCAAATGATTATGCACAAACAAAGCATATGCCAGATAAATTGGAGATAATCTAAAGAGGGAAGGCACTAGCATCAGAGGATGTTGGGAAAGACTTCCTGCAGGAGGTGAGATTTTAGCTGAAGCTTAAAGGAGTCCAGGAATGCCAGACAATGAAGAAGGTAAGGAGACATAGAGGACAGTCAATGAAAATTCAGAGTCAGGAGATGGGGCATCTTGTTTGAGGAACTGCAAGGTCATTTTCACTGAATCAGGGTACAGAGGGGGAGAAAGGTATAAGAAGACTGAAGATAGGAGGGCTAGGTTATGGAGTCTTTAAAAGAGAAGATTTTCTATTTCATCTTGGAAGTAAAAGAAGTCATTAGAGTTTATTTAATGGTGTGGAACATTGTCAGTCCTGTGCCTTAGGAGGGTCAATCTGATAACTGAATGGTTGGTCAATCAGTTCCTCTATACAATTTCACTTGGTTATTTTATCAACTCCCATGGATTCAATTATCATCTCTGTATTGAAGAGTCTCAAATCTATTTGTCCAGCTCTAACCCTTCCACTGACCTCCAGGCTCACATTTCCAACCGCCTTTTAGACCTCTCCAACTGGATATCTAGTATACATCTTAAACTCAACATGTGCCGTTGACATGACCTGTCAATTTCACCTTCACAACATCCCTCCTCTGACACAGCCACAGTTCTGGCGCAGACCCTCATCACCTCACGCCTAGACCATTGCAAGAGTCTGCTGGTGGGTCTGCCTGACTCAAGAGTCTCCCCAACTTTAATCCATCCCTCATTCAGTCACCGAAGTGACTTTCCTAAAACATGGGTCTGCTTGTGTCACCACCCTATTCAATAAATTTCAATAGCTCCCTATAATCTCCACAGCTTGTCTTTAAGCCCTTCAGAACCCAGCCCCTCTCCCCCACATAGCTTTCCAAGTCTTTTCACAGATTACATCCTCCCCCCAACACATAGATTTTGATTCAGTGACACTGGCATCCTCATTGTTCTTTGAACAAGACACTCCATCTCTTAACTCAAGGCATTTTCAGTGGCTGTTCAAAGTGCTGGAATGCTTCGCCTCTCTCCCCTCAACCTCCTGCTTCCTTGATTTCTTTCAGGTCCCAGCTAAAATCCCATCATCTACAGGAAGTTTTCTCCAATCCCTCTTAATTCTAGTGCCTTCTCTTTGTTGATTATTTCCTGTTTATCCTGTACATTGCTTGTTAATACATATTTGTTAGCTAATTGTTACCCCCACTAGATTGTGAGTGCCTTGAGGTCAGGGGCTGGCTTTTGCCTTTCTCTGTATTCCTAGCATTAGCACAGTGCTGGTACATAATGGAAGCTTAATAAATGATTATTGACTGCCTAATTGCCTTACTGGAGGATGGATTAGATGGTGGAAGAGGATGGACAATTATTTAATGCTACTATGAACACTTAACATTTAAGTAAATTAGTAAATTAATGTGAATACAGTAACACTTAATTAGTGTTTTATTAAGCAAGATGGCATCTACATACACTTGAACAATAGCAGTACCCTACCCATGAGACGTGATTCAATTTACAAAATATATGTTTGCTTCCTTATTTTATTACCTCATTTAACAAGATGGATTCCTTGTAATAGCTCTGCAAGAACCTTACCACTACCACCAAAGCCTAGGCTGAACTATAGGTTGGGAAATCTGGGCTTTTCCCCAAGGCATCAATATTTATAGGATCCTGGCATAATTGTCTTTTTCGTAGCACAGAAACAACTGAGCTTAGGACCTGTTAACAAGAACGATTAATTAAAATAGAAAGCTACCATATGGTGTGTTTTCTGTCCACCTCTCCAGTTGGTGACTACACCCTAGGTGAGCTTCTCATTGGCCCCACCCCACCCTACTTCCTAACCCAATTCTCAACCACAGTCTTACTACACTAGTGTAGTAATGAAAGACAGCAGAGTATACTGGAAGGATCATCCTGGGATCCTAGGTTTTGAGCTAGAAGGACCTTGCAGGTAATCCAATCCAATTCCTTCATTTTGTAATTGAAGTCCTTGAGGATGAGAAGCCAGAACACTTTCTATGGCCTCTCCATTTCCCAAGGACATAAAGCTACTAAATGAGAGCATCAAAACTGAAACACATAACTTGTTTACTCCAAGTCCCACAATCTTTCTACTGCACTACAATATCTCTCATTAGCAGCAGGCATTAAAAAAACATAATTTGAAAACCATTTTAGTGCAAGGTTCCACCAAAGATCTGTTTAAAATGAAGGGTTCTATCAAGTTTGAAAGCCATTGAAATTTATCTCAAAGGCACCTTTTGCCTCTTTCTCTGAGCTCATAAAAACTAGTGCTATTATTGATGAGTTTCTATTACAAATGGAGACATTTGAGAAGGTTTGCTTTTTATCATACAGTTTAGTAACACAAGATTTAAAAAGCAGAGGTGGGGTAGGAAGTGCTGGAGAACCTCATTCGCCTTCTTGAATATGGACAGACTTGTCTCCAACTCATCTCAAACTAAAGTGTGTCTGTCATAGGCTGAAAGATGCATAAAGAAGCCAGCTTCTTTAGTCCTCTATGTGACACAGAGTCTAATGTCCCAAATCTCCAGAGAGTTTTCTTCCCATGATCTAAACCCATTCCTTCCCAACGAGGAGACCTGGGTATGCAGCTTTCCTTAAGAGTGTCCTGAATGGGAGAGAGAAAGACATAAAACAAAATCACAAACTCTTAATGTCAAGCACCCAGTTGGATCAGTCAACAAGCACTTAATAAGTGACTATTTGTTGTGTAAGCACTCATTAAATGCCTACTGTATGCCTGGTTGGAAGCTCATGGAAGCCCTAAACTCAGGAGATTGCTGCAGCTCATTTAATCTTTTGTGACAAAGGCAAAAACATATGAAATTAGGTGCACACTAGCATGGGTTGTAAAAGAAGAGTTGCTTTTGTTCAATGATCTGTCCTTTTTTTCTTAGCATACAGATTGAATTTTAAACATTTGAGCAAAATGCCAATGCCTCCGGCTTTCTCCAAAGCCCTGGATTTTACTTGGCAAATAAGGCAATATTGGTAGCTTAGGGCTTTTTTTTCCAACTGAGATTTGAAGTATGGGGATATGAAGTAGAAAA